TGCCAGTTCTGACTTACATACAGATTCAACTTAAGAAACCCAGGCGTCCCCAAGTCAGCTGCTGCTGAAACTGATCAGCGGCTGATTCCAGGAAGCCTGGGGCAGAGCAGGGGGACAGGAGCAAAGCTGCCCAGGCGGGGGGAGTCCCGCTGCCTGGGCAGCTTTGCTCCGGGGCAAACGAGCAAAGCTGCCCAGGCAGCGGGACTCCCTCCGCCTGGGCGGCTTTGCTCGGGTGTCTCTGGTCTGCTGGGGGGGTCCAGCAGACCAGGGAGACCGGGAGAAGCTTTTCTCGCCCCAGAGGACACGGGTGGCGATCCGCCGCCCGTGAGCTCCGGGGCGAGAAAAGCCCCGTTCGTAAGTGCGGATCCGACATAAGTCGGATCCGCGTAAGTCGGGGACTGCCTATACTCCAAACCCACCCGAAGTTCCTCCCTAAAGTGCCCTCCCCCTTTCATGTTAATGAACCAATACACTTACCTGTCTTTTTTTTTTTTTTCTGAAACCGCATGCAGATCCCATCCAGGCTGCTTGGCACACACTCTGTCCGAAGAGCATTGGCTTTCTATGTTGATCGCACTGAACCCTGGCGTCTATCTCCTAGGTTATTTTTGTCTTATGCCGAACGATCTAGAGGGCAAGCAGTCTCATCTTAGAGAATTTTGAAATGGATCTCGTCTTGTATCTGTACTTGATACCTTATACGATAAACACTTACCTGAAACTATAACTGCTCACTCCACCAGGGCAGTGTTTTCTACGACTGCCTTCCTTAGCAATGTTCCTCTTCAGGACGTCTGCAACACCGCCACTTGGTCATCCGACCACACATTTGCGCAACATTATGCACTTTCCTCTTCAATTGTTTCCTCTATGCCGGTGGGACACACAGTACTATCCACACTGACTACCAAATGGCTCCAAACCCACATCCGCGAGCCGACAATCACTCTAGTCACCCAGAGTGGAGCACCCACGGGGACTACTCGAAGAAGAAAGAGTTACTCACCTTGTGCAGTAATGGTGGTTCTTCGAGATGTGTCCCCGTGGGTGCTCCATTACCCTCTCTCCTTCCCCTGCTTTGGAGCCTTGCTCTCTAGTGGGTAGAGAAGGAATGGAGGAGCTGCGCCGCGCAGGTGCCTCAGGATCCCAACGGCACTAGAGGGTGCTGGGGCGCCTGTGTGGCACAGCAGAAACTGCTGGAAAAAGTCTCTGGTCGCTGGCGCGAGGACTCACCAGCACCCAGAGTGGAGCACCCACCCGGACACATCTCGAAGAACCACCGTTACTGTACAAGGTAACTTTCTTTCTGTACTAAAATTTAATAGGCTGAGTGGATAATATTAAATAAAAAGATCGCATTTAGTCTATATCAGTAATTTGAATATCATCTGGTCTACATTTAAAATTTGGTTTGACAGACCTACATTGCTTAAATGTGAAAATCCACTCCAGTGAATGTCACAGCTATGCTGACCAAACCACCCAGTGTTGATGCAGCTAGTTTGATGGAAAAATGTTTTCCTTGATCTAGCTAAGTTTGGATGAGGAGATATACTGTCCTACACTGATATGAAAAACCTCTTCTATGAGTATAGATTGTGTCTGTACTATGAGGATTTGCTGGCGTAATAGTAAGACATTAATCACATTTTAATACTAATGGAAACTTTACAGCTCCATGTCCATGATGGCCGAAAGGAGAACCTAGAAGGCTTTGTGAAGACATTTAGCAAACTGCCAGCTGATGGAAATCATGGTGTGTTTGCACTCGACTGTGAGATGGTATGGTTAACTTTAAGTTTCTTGAAATATTTCAGCTCAATCCAAACATTTACTGCAACTTTTGAGTGTTGCTTTGTAGGAAATGTGTAATTCTGTTCTAATAATAAAAAGTGGTGGACTAAGTTTTCATTAAGATTTGAGCTGACCTGGATGCATTCTGTCTGACGGATGATACAGAATTGGAGACTGTTTAATACAGCCGCTCCCTGAGTTGCAAATGGTCGAGTTACGACCGTTCGCACTTACGACCAAAGCTTCCATGGAGCGGTCGTAAAGGCGGTCCCTGAATTACGAACACAACCCGTGCTTACGAACAGCGCGGTTGTGTGTAATTCAATGGGGTCCGAATTTCGAAAGGATCGAGTTACGGCCGAGTGTTTGGTCTGTAACTCATTCGTAACTCTGAGAGAGGCTGTAACTCGGAGAGAGGGTGTATTGTTTAAATAAAACGTGACTGGTATGACCTCCAAAGACTGTTCATTCCTTAAGTAAAGATTGAAATGAAATCAGTGTAGACAAACTTAACAGTTGTCGTAATGTGTTGCTATCTTGTAAGGGAAAAACAATTTAAGTGTGGCTGCAAGAAAGACACAATTATTTATCCAGATTAACAGAATTGCCAGACCTTAAGTGCAGGGTTGGGGGCAGGGGGGAAGGGAGAGCTGGAAAAGTGCAGTCTTAGACAGAAGGGGCAGAGCTGGGAGCTAGGCTTCTCCAGCCAGCCTTTCAGCACTGCCCACCCATGCTCTCCAGGGCTCCTGTGGCAATTTAGAGGGCCCAGGACTCTGGCCACTGCTGCTCCACAGTAGTAGTTTTGGCAGCTTCATGCCTTATGTCTCTTCTCTCCCTTTCTCCCCTCCCCCCCACACACTCACTCAGCAGCCCTGTGCACAGTATGTTTAATTCCTTCATGTTGCATATATTGTGTGAAGAACAAAAAGGCATAGAGGTGACCCATTCTAAATCGTTATTTAACACTTGTTTTGTTTTTCTTTTAGTGTTACACAACACAAGGTCTGGAACTTATTAGAGTGACCGTGGTTGATTCCAACCTACAGGTTGCCTACAATACACTTGTTAAACCAGATAATGAAATAATAGACTATAATACTAGGTATGCGTCTCTTAAAAACCATTTGAAGATAGTACCCTCATTCATAGTGTTGATTTTAATTGAATAAAACTTGCTTCTGAGAAGTTCAGTATATATTTTCTTTTTGAAGCTGTTTCTTCTGCTTTATTGGAGGTAAACTTGAATACAAAACTATTGACTATCCTTTAACTTAAAATATTTTCTACAGTATATGTTTTCCTTGTTTCTCCCCCAAATTATATTTTCATGTGACTTCACTTAAAAATGTAGGGATTTTTCAGATCCCTCTCTGAATCTTCACAACATTAAATAAACTTTAAAATATGCTGGAGTAAGATTTGATGAAATGTGGCTGCTATTAATGCAGAATCTGTCCTTTCTCCACCTGGTAGCAAGAGGCATACATCCTGGATGCAAAAGCTTTTTGGCTCCAACCTTCTCAGGATCCTCATGCACTCAGTTCTGAAGTTTTTGATTTCTGTCTTTGCTGAAGTAGCAGCAAATGTCTTAAGACAAGGCAACCTTTTTAGAGGCTTTTATTTTTTACCTTCTGATTCACTATCAAAGAGGAGTCAGAAGCTGCCTAGAAAATACTCAATCTGTGATTTCTTGTCTCAGTCTCTTAAGTAGTCGGTGCCTCTGTCCTCGCAATATCCCTAATCCTCCTTCATTCCTAGCTTATTTGGACAGTCTGCAATTAGCTGTCACAGTAGTTTTTCTGAAAACCGGACCAAACCTCATTATCCTGGAGAGGGAAATAAAAATTGATCTATTGTCTTGTGTTTCTGAAGTTGACTATACTTAATCTGAATACTACAGAAAGGAATTCAGAGACCACCTTTTACCATTTACTTCATTTATATCTCACTTACTAAAGCTCTTTAATCTATTTCAGATTTTCTGGAGTGACAGAAGAGGACTTGAAAAATACATCATCTTCTATTCGGGATGTGCAGGCAATATTGCTAAACTTGTTCAGTGATGATACTATTTTAATTGGACACAGCTTAGAAAATGATTTATTTGCTCTCAAGGTAAAAAAATTCAGGATTAGTTCTGAGTTTTACAAATTTTTTTTAAAAAACATGAGCTGTCGCTAACTTCAAAGCTACTGATTTTCAGAACTATACTTATCACAGGATATAATGGTGCCCAATTAATAAAGTGGTAAATCAGCATTAAGATTTTTGGCAGTGTTACATATGCTGTAGTTTATCGTGTATTATGAGGGTGGTATGAAGGCTACTCATTTCATACTTAGATACAGAAAGCTACAAATACATAGACACAATACAAGCAAGTAAATGTTGCTGAAAATTTCACTCTTCCTCTTGATTTTTGTGTGTGCTCTTAACTGTACAGTTTCACATAGCCCTTGTATTATATTTTTCTTGTTAAACGGAGGAAATATGTAATTGCCTTTTTAACAAACTCCTGTGAGTTCACCAATTGCTTTATAATTAAAGCAGTCAGTACACCTTTGAATGTGCATATATTTGTACTGAATCACTGCTGAAGCAAGCATTAGTAAACATAACTTTTTGCTTTGCATCCAATACTCAGGTTTCCAACAGTCAGAACTTTATCAGACTTAAATGAATTATATTTAAATCTGTGAAAGGCACTAGTACTCAGTAGAAGATTTCAGTCAAATAAAACACAACTGTTTGGCAGTCCTAATAGGGAGTAACTTCCATTAACATTCAGAAGCAAATTTTTTATGAACTTAATGTGCTTTTTGTACTGTTGTCTGGCAGGAACATAAATGAAAACTATTGGCTTGTGTCCTAAAAGAGCTGATGGACTATATAAATTAACAAATACACATAACATTTTGCATAACAGAGAGCCCCTGTTCATAAGCATTTACAATCTAATAAGACCAGATAATACACAGAACAGGAATAGCATGAAGAAAAAGAAATCAAGGATGAGAAGTTTAAGGCTTCAATTGCATAACCCGCTTCTAAGTTATTTAATGACAGGTAGTACTTCAGCCATGAGACGTAAGTACAGTTTTATTAAAGGAAAATGTGATTGGACTTCTGATCATGGATGTATTTAATGCAGATCACTGCTGTGGTTTTTTTTACAGCTAATTCATAACACTATTGTGGACACGGCAGTTGTGTTTCCTCATCGGCTAGGCTTGCCTCACAAAAGAGCACTTAGAAACCTAATGGCTGATTACCTCAGACGAATTATTCAGGATGATGGTAGGAGCCTATTTTAGTATCTATATAAGTCAGTGGTAATTTGTATAATAAAAGGACAAATACCAAGCAACAACCAATTTAATAGTACAGTTGTTGCTCTTAAACTTGCTAACTTAGTCTTAGGTGAAGTTACTGCAGTGTTCATTATAGTATTACATAAAATACTGCAAGTATAGATGACCAGTTTAATAACTGACATTCATAATTTCATAAATTAAGATATAGAATCTTGTTCAAAATTGCACTTTACATTAAACGCCTCTCGATTTTTCTCTCCCATGATTGAAGTGGGTAATAGCTCCCAAAGTGCAACTTGTGTACTTGTTTCACTTATTTTCATCTAGGCACATGTCAGTTATTTTGGAGGATTACTTTGTCCAATTTTCAAGTCAATATTCAGTAGTTTAGTATTTTTCTCTCCTAGAAGGAAGAGTTATAACAGTGACTTCAGTTTTTTAAATAAAAATCTTTTTGCAAAGCCTATATATGTATCAAATGTGTAGAAACATATGAGCAAGGAAATCATGCTATCTATAACTAAAGGGTAAAAATCAATTTGAGAAAGTTAAAATAAATGGCCAAGAAGCAAAATGGAAAATGTAATAGATTAAAGCTGACCAATATTTTATGTGCATGTTTTAAACACACATGCTATTGAGAGACATGACATACAAGGCCTTTTGTTAGAATACAAAATATTATCCTTAATTTCATTGGATTTCAGTTATGAATGAATTGCTCAGTTGTGCTTTAAAAGAAAATTCAGTAAAATTGCATACACAGTAGATGTGTACTTCACATCTCATTTTATTCCATAGAAGTAATTGTACATTAGCCATCTAAATGAAACCACTATTGAATACTTGGGCACACACTTGGTTGGTTTTGTATTTTTTTTTTAATTGAAGCTGTCTACAGTACTTTGGACTAGCAGGTCTGCATTTAGCTTTTTTTAAAGAGTTCTTCAAATACTGTCTTGACTGATAATCAGGTCTCATTTTCAGAGTGATTCCATTTGCTGCATTGCATTCCCAGTGGAATGTTTGGGGGAAGGGGCAAAAATGAGATTCTTAAAAAGTAGGCATAATCTTTGAACTGCAACAATGCATGGAAGCTGTGCTAGTGGATTGTACTTCGAATGAGTAGAATGAGGTGCAAGATTTTTGGCAGCAACTGAAGCCAATACACTCTCTTCTTAAAAATAAATCTTGAAGGGTCTCATTTGTCACAACCTGCAGTTTTTTTTCCAGTGTAAGTGTTTGACTCTGGAAACAGTTGAGGACAATAAAAATGGATGTCATTTATGGCTACAGTTCTCCTTTTTAAAATATAATTGTCGTCAGACATTTTTTGGCTAAACTAATTGGCCCAGAAGATTTGAGATCAAAGTTAGTATAGGTTTAACTTGTACCTGAATGCACTTGCACTCAAATTCCCCATCTGAAAGGCTCCTTATTTGCAACTGATTGCACCTAGAAAGGAAAGCCTTCAACTAAACAAAGAAAAATGTTCCCCAAAGTTACTCACTCTATGATCTCACATTCCTTGGCTTCAGTTCTACATAATGAACAAGTTTCCATTAAATTGTTATGTATACAGGCAGTCCCCGGGTTACGTACAAGATAGGGATGGTAGGTTTGTTCTGAAGTTGAATCTGTATGTTGAATCTGTATGTAAGTCGGAACTGGCGTCCAGATTCAGCCGCTGCTGAAACTGACCGCCAGTTCTGACTTACATACAGAA